GAATCTAATTTTTTTACACAAAAATAATTTTATTAAAGCAAATATAAATTATCATTTATATAAGAATAATAAATTTATACCAGATAATGCAAAAAAAAACTAATTAATTATATAATTTTTAATTTTTTTTAATATAAGATATCATTAAAATTTAAAAGATCAAATATAACTCTCATGACAAAATCATTGATAATTCTTCGTAGAAATAAGCTATACAAATAAATTTACATTCATTTGAAAGAGAAAATCGAGATCTATCTAATGAATCTAAAATCAAGTGAATTGAATCACTAGTTGTTCAGTAATCACGTTCAGTATATTATTGAATTTTATCTAAATTTGATCATTAATTACTTCACATATAGTGATTCAATTTGAATGATCTTTGCTCCCTAAGGTGATGCCAACTTTTATCTTTAAAATAAATTTAAAATAATTCGTTTAATATATGTAGATGTTTAGGAATCATCAATTATATTATTAATATAAAATTTTATAAGTTTGATAAAATCTGATATAAAAAAATTTATTAAATACCTGTAGATGCAAGCTACACGAATGAAATTATATTCATTTGAAAGAGAAAATTGAGGTCTATCTAATAAGCCTAAAATCGAATGAATTGAATCACTGGATTGTGAATAATTACGTCTAATATATTTATTTTTAATTTTTAAATTTGATTTGACTTTGATCGTTAATTACGCCTCATCCAGTGATCCAATTTTCCTGATCTTTGATTCTTACGATAGAGCAAATTCTCAGCTTTCAAATGAATGTAAAATGATGACGTTAGCATATCTCCAGGAATAATAATGCACGATTTTGTCACCTGCATAAAGTCCGATCTGAAAATTTTATTTCTTACCAAAAAATGCTTTCATAAGAGAATCCCAAATTCTTTTACTTTATTTAAAAGATTTTATTTGCCATTTAAGGATTTTAGTAGAATAAATCTAATAAAATAATTTTAAAAGATAAAAAACAAATATATAATTAGTTATTTTGAAAAAAAAAGAATATCTTATTATTCATTTTACAACTATTTTACATCATAATTATTTTTTATTTGCATGTATTTTTTACAAAGAAAAAACAATAAATTAATGCTAAAAATTATGAAAAAATATGTCTTATCTATGTATATAAAATATTAAGTTTTTTCTTTTACTTACCACTTAAAAATAACTGCTATATTTGCTTATAAACTTTTTTGTCATATTTAATAAAAGTGAATAGAAAAATAATGGAAAAGTGATGGGAGTGATGGGGAAAAAGAAGTGGTTATTACCGTTATTTTTGAATATTGATTAAAAAAATTTTTTTTTATTTTTTAATAAATCTGAGTTACGTAAATATGTAACACATATTTAATTTAGATTTGTGTAATGTTAATCTTACTAAAATATTAAATTTTTATAAAAATTTTAATTTAGACTAATTCCAAAAATCGGCACATATGGTGATATTGAAACTCACTTTTTTTTATATAAAATCAATATAAAAAAATGAATCACAATACTACAACTTTTTTTTATATAAAATCAATATAAAAAAGTGAATCCCAATATCACAAATCACTTTTTTTATATTTAGTTATTACTAAATTCATAAAATCTATAAATAACTTAGTCAGGACTAGGTTCAGGACTGGTCCTAAATCCTAATAAAACCTGGTCCACAGGTTCATTCAATAGAACTTATAGGTTACCATCCCTAGTCATAGAACTGCCATTCCAAAACTATAAATAATTTATTTATATCAGGATCCCACTTACTTATAATAAAAGTCATCGTAGAAAATTAACCTTTTACTAATAGTTTTTACCTTACTTTTTTCTTAAATTCTATTGGTTAATTAGCCAAAAAGGAAAAAAATTATAACAATGTAACATAAAATTTCCTTTTATAGTAGAATCTGCAAAGAATTTTATATGTGATTTTTACCTCAGGCTTGGAGTGACCTATCTTATAAGTAAGCGGAATCCTTTTATTTATATCATAATCATTCGCTCGCATTAAAGCTAATATATGTTCTGATCTTAAAATATTCATTTTGGTAAATGAATTATATAATATACCTGATTTATACTTTGAAGGAGCTAAATTCAAATAATGAAGGAATTTCATAAGTATGTCATTTCTCTAAGTTTTTGTCTCTTTACGATCTCAAGATATTCCGATTAGTATTGACAAGCTATTACTGGGATAATTTTTGTGAATTAGATTCTGAAGTGCAGGACATTTATTTGTTTTTTTGAGAGTAAATAGACTCACTTCTTTCATGACAGCAGACTCTACACTAATAATGAATTTTTCACTAATATCTACTCTAATTGCTAAGACAAATAAAAGCAGAATTAAAGTTAGGTGGTAGAAGTCTGCTAAAGAATCCAATTCAAATTCACTAACATATTTAATTCCAATATCTTCTAAATAATCTGAAAGTCTATCAGTATATTTATAACCTTTACAAATCAACTTTTGGAATAGCTTTTCTTTTAAGATCCTGTTAAAATATTGAGTACTGTTTTTTATGTATTCATAGAAATAAAGTAGTATGATGTAGTATATATTTTTTGTTTATAATATACTTTTCCATCCAAATTCAATTTAGATTATTTATTTTAAAATTTGAATTTTATAATAAGAAAGGTACAAGAATATAATAAATGGATTGTCTTACCTACCCACATATTAGAAATATTGGGAGTACTGTGGCCGAGTTTGCACTCGCTTGACAGAATGCTCACTTTACTGGAAATCAGATGCAAATAATATGTTAAAATCTCTATGTAGAATATGTGATAAATCTACATTATTTTATATAGGCTATTGCTTTAAACATGCCAAAAAATTTTATCATCATTTCAAAAGAGAAAGACAATAAATAAATTTGTTATAATGAAGATGCCTACTTATATGAAGGTTATTTATTTTAGTAAACCTCTATTAATAAAAAACTTCTCTTGGCAATTTTTTGAGACAGCCTGTCCTGCAAATTTTTTATTTTAAATGTTTATATGCAGTGTATTAATTAAATATAGATTATATTATCTGAGCTTAAATTATCAAAATAATATATTACTGAATTTGAAACTGAAAATGTAGACTTTAGAAGAAAGATCTCAGAGTTTGATACTGAAAGAGCACAAGATTTCTGAGGCTCTAAAAATAACTGAGAAAGAGAAAATGAAACGTGATGCTGAAAATGCTAAACTCAAGATCAGAATCAAAGAGCTAAAATCTAAGAATATTGAGTTTAGAGATAAACTCACAAAAGTAGAATAGAAGCAAACGTTAAATAATAATACTTTTAATAACAACACATTTAACTTCAATTCTGATACTTTATTAACAAAAGAATTGATATCAGAAGTTTTACCTGTCAGTTTCAAGTCATTGAAGGAAATGGAAATAAATGTTTTCTTAGATAAAGTACAAAAGAAAAAGGTTAGCAATAAGATTAGGCAACGCAATAAGAAGAAAAAACTTTGCTTTAGTGTTTTTAGCCAAGTTTAAGAGTCTCTTTTAATATCTAGTCTCTCTAAAACCCCATCTTAAGAAAAAAGGCCTCAAGTTCTCAACTTAGTTATTCAGCTATGTAATAAATCATATAAGAAAAAAGAAATAGATGAACTCAAATACGAAATATTCAATCCCCCTTTTATAAACCATAATAATATGACTGAAATTTTTAAGACAGTCCGTTCCAGAAAAATTACCTATGATAGTATTGATAAAGCTTCACAATATCTAGCTCGATGCTGAAGATAAGGTAAATCGAACTGCCAGTTTATAACTGGCAGATATTATTTATTTGCAATTAAAAAAGAAATTTTATATTGGTACCTCTACTAAAAGGATTTCAGAGATCAGCTTGATGAGATTATCAGAAGCAATGGTAGTAAATTCGGTGAAAAGAAGGCAACCCTATAAAAAAAAATTTTACTTAAAATATATTTAAATTATATTTAATTTTCTTTAAAATATACTTAATTTTCTTATTTTATACTTAAAATATACTGAAAATTGAATTTTCGCAAAATTTGAATTAAATTGTATTTAATATATACTTAAAATATATTTAATTTACACTTAAATTTTGTCTATTTCAGTATATTTTAAGAATATTTAAAATAAGAATATTTTAAGTATATTATTATGTACTTAAATTATACTTAAATAATACTTAATTTTTGCCTATTTCAGTATATTTTAAGTATAAAATAAAATTTTAAATATATTTTAAGTATAAAATAAAATTTTAAGTTTATTTTAAGTATATTTTGGAGAATTTGTAGTTTCACAAGTAGTAAGTATTTTTATAATATTTAAAATTTTTAATTTTTATGCTTAAGAATTTACTAAATATTATTTTATAGTTGCCACAAATGAATCCATTTCCAAACAAAAACAGTGTTTTAGTTCTTGATAATGCTAAAATACATCATGATCAAGAACTTCTTGATTATTTAGATGCATTTGGGGTAAAAGTTAAATTTTTACCTCCTTATTCGCCTGATCTTAACCCTATCGAAACTGCTTTCTCTACAATTAAGCAATTTTTACAAAGAAACAGATATTTTGTAGAAATTAGTTATAACCCTATTTATCCTTTACTTATAGCTTATTTTCAAATTACTCCTCAAATGGCAAAAGGTTATTTTAAAGGATATGGGTATTTTTAAAAATAGAAAATATTAGAATAAAAAATATTTTATATAATATTTTTTTTTATCAATAGAATAAATAGAATAAAATATTTTGAATAAAACATTTTTATATAACGCAATTTATTATTATAAAATGAAATTTATTTATTTGTATTTTTGAGCAGCTTCCCTAATGGTTTTGATATCTCCAACTGCTGTTACTCTGCAAATTTCAAATTGTGTATCATTCAATTTACTCAAATGTTTTACTCTAATTCTTTGTTTTTCAAATCCTTCCAAAAAATTAAAATAATAATCCTCTGTTTTCTCTGCTTCATCTATTTGTCACAAGAATTCAGCCATCGAAGGTATTGATTGCGATGATTGAGATACTATAGAATTATTAGATGTTAAAGAAGATGAAGGTTGTTGAAGAAAATGTGGAGTAACTAATGCTTGTAAAAGGGTAGAAAAAATAGGATTAATCAAATCTTGCACATTATTTGAAAATTGAGGTAAATTTGATTGAGATCTATTTTTTGATGGATGTGTATACCCAAATGAAAGATGTGTTGGTGGTTCTTTAACTGTTGCGAGACTATTAAGCTAAAATATAAAAAATTAATAAAATATTTTTATTATTAATCAATTATAAATATAATAAATAGTTTACCATTTCTGTAGCCTAAGTTGAAAACATCATGTTGCTTATTTCAGCATGGGGTTCACGATCCTTTAAGCAATACCTATTATGAATAGAACACCAAGTTTCCTTTCGTAATTCTATAACATTTTTGGCAATCCTTTGATCAATTATAGAAATATCTGAAACTTTTGGAATTTTATTACTGTTGCCACCCTTTGGAATTGATTCATCACAAATTATTTCATCATCATCTGAATTAGATTCCTAATCAAAAAAAATATGTAATTTTAATAATTTTTCAAAAATACAGTGTAATAAAAAAGCATAAAATAAACTTAACCTTTTTCTTTCGTTTCACTAGCTTTTCCTTTTTTTTCATAGTAACAAGAATAAGCATAGTCCTTTTTGCTGCAATAAGTTTAACGTATTCTAATCAAAAATTTTTAAAATCACACACATCTACTAATAAAGTACCAGCTCCTTGAGCCTTTTCTGATTTGAAAGAAATGTTATAATCATTAGCATTAATTTCATCATCTTTAAGAAGAGCTGTAATATTATTTTGAATTGCAAGTAAAAATTCGTCTAATTCAGAAATTGTTACTGAATAGTTTTTAGCTGGAAGAGCAGAACCATCAGCTTGTTTGATAACAAGTTTATAATCAATTTCCATTTCTAGTTCATCATCATCATCATTTTCTGAATCATTGTGTTTAGATTTACTTTGAGTTACTGTGGAGACTTCAGAAGAGCCAGTTTCAAGATCAATAACTTCTGTAGTTTCTGCTCTTTTTGTTCTTCTTGTTTTTCATGTCAAATTTGAACTATTGGACAATCGTTGATAAGGACTATTACATTTTGTACAAAGTGAAAATTGAATACTTTTTGTTAGATCATATCCATATTGGAAATGTTCATTTTTATTTTTAACAAAGTCAAATTGTTTAGGATTAGAAGTGATAGGATCAAATGCTCTTGGAAATGCATTTTTGACAAGAACAGTTCTATTTTTTTCTAGTTGGTTTAACTGCTTTTTTGCATTTACATATATCTTTTTCTAAATCTATACCACAATATAAACATTTTTGACACCCAAAACATGTTCCAATTTTGTACTTTTTTTTTACCATTTTTTGCGCGTCAAAATTATGAATACGTGAAAAATAATTATATAAAATTTCAAAATTTTATTGGTTACTAATGTTGATCATCACGTGAAATCTGATTACCTGATTACCTTAGCATCATGCAGTATGAAAATCGACTGATCGCACTAATTTGAAAATGGCGATAATGCTAACTGCAGTGCATCTATTTTAATGTTCTATTAATAAACCATATATTATTATACATTTTTTTCTGAAAGTTCTAGTAAATAATTTATTTCACAGCTTTTCATGAATTAATGATTTGCAAGTATTCCTGATCATGATGCTAGAATGAAATGAAATGGAAATTGGGTAACAGATTGATTCAATTGTTACAAAATTTTTTTATGTAATCACTTATTTTTGGTGAGTTGATTGGATTTGTCATATTAACAAAAATTTCCCTTAAAGATCTTAGACCCACTGCAAATTATATAAAAAAGTAAGGCCTAGTTAGTGAATCTTTTTATCCGCCTTGTATAAGTAAAACAAAAAATAAAGTGAAATATTCAAACTAATCAAACTTACCAATATTTATATCATTAATATCCTTGATCAAATGAACTCATATAATCTGTAAAACAATAACTTTAAGGTATATTGATTTTATTGCTCAACTAGCTTCTTGAAACATGTCATCACGATTTTCCTGTCTCTATAGATGTTCCAAAATAAAATGGATATATTACTCTTCTTGCTATATATCAGTGTTTTGATCTTTTCCAAGAAAATCACTAACTAACATCACGTGTATAATAGGCGCAGTGAAATTACTCACATAAATCTCGTCACATACCTTAATATCACGCTCCTCAATAAAATTTGGTACCGGCAATAAAAAAAATTGAATTACCTTTATTGTAATGCATTAAGTAATAAATTTCAGGCATATTGCAAAAATTAATAGTAATGGTAAGTATAAATCGGAAATATTTTTTTTTACTTCAGTTGCTAATCTCCCGAATTTATCCATAGATTCGAAATTACTTAATCTCTGAGAAGTTTCATTACGGGAAATATTATTTTACATAATAAATAGACAAAAATTCTGTAGATATGGATGTGATAATTTATTTCAGAAATCTAGTGTAGAAAGAGAGTATTGTTATGAGAATCTCATAATTAGCAATTGATATAGAAATAAATTAGTTGTAGAAATTTATCAGAAAAGTGTGAGAGCAAAGAAATAACTTGATGCTGGGACTCGCATTAAATGGCCTAGGATCCGCGTACTCCCTCCCTCTTTGATAGCATCATATATTTCATTTGCCTTTCTAGCATTTTCTGATTTACTATGTATCTGCATCAATAATAATAAAGCCGGTTTAACTATGTGCATGTGACATCAGATGGTGATTACCACAACTGATAAGTTGTCACGTATTTCAATCAGACGCGATTTCATTCCACTCAAAAACATGTCCTATTTCGACCAGAAAATTATCGTTTTCTGAATTACTATGAATACCGATCAAGACAACCTGACTTTACTTATTCTTTTCAGAAGGAATCGCACAGATTAAAAACACACCTCGAAAGACTTATGAGTAATAGCTCGGACGAAATTAAAGAGGGTACCTCAGATGTACAAAATTTATAAGGTAAAGTTTTTATTCATTTTTCTCTTGTTGTTTTCTGAGGGAGGCTGTGCGAGACATTTAAGTGGGCTATATTTCGCGCTGGCCTATCTTGTGACTTGCCGTTTACCGCATATTGTCGTAATGACTTTTGAGGGAAGGAACCCACACAACTACGGTAGCATCTTCGTGTTGCTCACCTTATGGTCTTCGTGTCCGTTGTGCCTGCCTCAAGACGTGCTTCTTACCACATTTGAATAATATACTAATTCTAATTTAACTATAGGGACATCGTAAATACTTTAAAGATGTTGATTCGTTTGGCAGAAAGTCGAGAGAAATTGTGCTGAAGTGAGATTTTTAAAAAATTTTCTAGCCCGTCTAAATAAACTCGTGCTTATATACTTTTTATGTTTGCAGTCAGAAGCCTCTAACTCCATAATTCAAGACACAACAAAGGTTTTTAAAAACTCTATTTTAAACGTTAATTCTTCCATCGAGAAAGTTAATAAAACAATGGTATTGAGTTGAAATTATTTATTATTTATATGTTTATCATATTAATCATATAAATTGTCATGTATTTGTATCAGCTTCAATATAATAAAGAGCTCGAAATTGCTAATAATGAAGGAAGCAGTAGGGAAAAAAGGGCGCAACTATCCAAAGGGGATCGTGAAGAAGTATGCATTTTATTTTATTTAGAAGTTTAGAATCGACAGAACGGTGATTGTCTGTTAGAAACTAACTCTTTCTTTTGTATTTATTCCGATGATGACTTTCTACCTCTAAAAAATCCCTCAACAAAGCGGAGAAAGAATTTATCTCTTGCGAAGGTTAGAACCTTATGTTGCCTTGAATTTTATGCGAGCATTTTTTTTAATGGCTACTTTGTTACCGATTGCGTCAAAGAAGGTATGTGTAAGATTCAACCTATGGCAAGAAGCGGATTCCTCACTACTATTCGTTGTATGAATAGATCAAAACCATTAGCAAGAATGTGGATGAAAAGGGAAACGATGATGATCCATCCCTTAGTAACGAGAGTTCTACCAGTTCTAATTCAGGATCAATATCAGGTTCAACACCACAAACCATTAATTCAGACGAAAATTGTGAACCTGTTGTTGACTCTACCCAAGATATTGAGGTAATTTTTAGAAATCTGGGCATACCTGACGCATGTTTTTATATCTTTCAGCTAATTATAAAGAAAAAAATCTTAGAATTTAATGATTTTAAAAATTTATTATATTTTATTATCGTATTTATACAACAGGCCACGATCATAATTGATGTTGATGAAACACTCGAAACCTTGGCCAAGGAAACCCTCGTTAGAAATGAAGAGTGGATTATTGGCTTTGGTAAGATAAACGTTCGAGAGTCGCTAAAAAAATGGAAGCGCGAAAAAGATCGTCCTCATAATGAGTAAGTTTCAATTTATTATTTTGTAAAACATCAAAGTAAATGGTGCATTAACTATCATTATGCAATATTAGTCTTGGATATTATGACATCATTGATCTCACGCCCGGATCTAATAGTGATTTTGTTAATTCACTATCGAAATCCGAATATGAAGAAGTGATAAGTTATGATCCTCCAAAAATACCGAATTTTAATTATGGTGAAATCAAAGCACTAATTGTTAAATGACCAAGGTGTTCGATAACTTTGTTATTATTATTGATTATCTTTCAAAAATGTTTAATTAACAAGTCTTTTATTATAGGCGTCTGATTTCCGAAAAGCAGTAAATGAAAATTTCATGTCAACAAGAGGTGATGAGGATAAAGAATTCGCGTGGGATTTTGCTTATCATCTGTAGGCATCATCTTAATATAATAGTTTCTTTGATATCCGCACAATTATTGACTTTATGTAGGGTAAATTCTTTTGATCATGGGAATGATCTTCTTAATACCAACATGTCGGAAAGGATGTATCGAAAGATTTCTTAGCACCTGTAATTCGAAGTTTATTTCGAAAAAAAAGTACGGACCTGGATCTCTTTTTGTAAGTAATGGATTGTATCATTTTAAATTGCAATTTTTAACGATCATCAGATAAATATCAATTTGTTATCTATTTATTAAGTGGTGAGGTATGCTTATACGCATCGGCTGAAGACGCCGATTTAAAGAAGAACGACGCAGAAGACCGAAGTTCGGGACGAAAGATTGATGCTGTTTGGGCCACAAAACCTCCAAAGGTTGAGTTCGCCATTTGTGAAGTTAGTGGACCCCCAACCAACGACTATATTCGCATTATTTTACCGACAAAATAAAGATCGGGAAAATGTTAAAAATAATGTTAAATAGGATAGCTCGAGTTTATGGTGGAGATAGTACAATTTTCAATTTATTGAAGCTTTACGCTTTGCAGATTTATGGTAAATGTTTTCAGTATTAATGATAATCTGTCTTGGTTATTAATTTTTAAATAATTGTAGATCACAATGCAATTGTATACGAAATGACCGTACCGTATCGAGAATTATATTTATTTAGAGAAGTAATACGAACGGAATTACCAACAAGTCAAGTTAATTTAGTGCGGATGCGTCAATGCGTCCCGAAATTCCTTTTATTTAAAGTATACGTCCTTATTTTTTTTTTTGAGATATTTTTTCAATTAGTTCTTGTATGTACGAACTAAATTTATTCTATTGTTTATAGGAAATGCTTTGTAAAAGTTTAAGTGATCTACGTGAATATATTATGGAAGCTGGCTTACATACACCACCTGAAAAAATTAAAGCATCTCTATTTGTTACAGAAATGACGTATACGCCCCCATCAAAAAAGGATAATAACAAAAAAGAGGCAAGAGAGGAGGGAAAAAAAAGTAGTATATTTTATGTTGTTCAATAGTCACAGAAAAAGTGTATAACTTCGTTTTTTTTATTAGTTAGCATATTTTGTTTAATTCGTGTTGTATCAATGCGTAGTAAAAATATAATTGTAGTTATAACATAGTGCATATTTGAAAATAAAGTATATACTTCCGTCCTCATTGTGCAAATGTATATAGTCAGAGGAGACCGTACGTATCGGAAGAAATAAAAAAAATGCTTATGTTCATATCTTTGTTGGAAGCAATTGGTAGAGATTTACTAGGCAAAGTGATCGGCATTACAAATTGTAACGCGCACGTGATTTTTCATCGTGTTTAAAATTACTGAGTAATCGCTCAAATTAACACTGGTTTGACGAGCTCGTCTAGTCTCGGCCACTTGTTTAAGCAAGGAATATGGTAGCTTTTTTCTTTGAAGCATTTAGCTAAAACGTTTTAATAAAGTTTGCCCAACAATTCGGGCTTATATTTTTATTTGTTTCGTGAAGGTGTATGAGAGTGTGTAATGCATTTTTGGAATATGTTCTCCCTTGTACCTTTGGTACTGCGGAAGATAGCCTAACTATTGAATAGCCATTTTCTTTTTTACATTTCTGAGATAGGTATTTCTTTTTTCGAAAAAAGGGTATTGGGCCATTTACTATATTGTGTTACGCCACATGATTCATTCATTCTTCTGCGCAATTTTGTTAACCCTGGACAAGCAGTCCAGACTGCCGTCAGAGAAATATTTCTTGCACGTAGTGTTTTTTTGATTATGATTGCAGGGGTGATGTGTACATGGTCCAGATTGGCTGATCCTCATGATTTGAGTTGCGGGAAGGTTGCGAGGAAGTGCTGGGGAGCTAAGGTAATACAAACTTTATAATTTAGCCATCCATGGTGATGGGATCCAATCATTATGTTGGAAAAAAAATCAGTTATAAATCTATTTTCACTCGAAGTTCTTTGAACAAGGGGATAATCTAATAAAAATGAATCTGATATTTTATTATAATATACTTGCTATAAATTGCTATAAGTCTTTAAAATCACTAAAAATACTATAAATCACTAAGATTAGTTATAAACTTTAAAAAATGGACTATTTTGGTTTAAATCCTGTAGTAGTGCAGGTATTGAACAATCTGCAATATAGGTATAGTGGTGAAACACCAGAAATGTGGTATTCTCGTGTTCATTATCCATTTAAGAAACTTCTTGAATATAACCCAAAATACTTCTCCAAGAATGGATTTATTCAAATGATTGAAAGATCATATAAAATAGTGAATAGTATCCCGTATATACAACTCAAAATGACTTGCATAGACTCGCATAACATAAATAATATAGTTAAAGTATTATAAAATTAGCATAGGACAAATTTTATCATATAAAAAATTGATTTGAAACTTGACTCAACTTAACTCGTAAGAAACACTAATGGTGAATTTAAAGCTGGAAGATACTCATTTCATATTTATTGCACTGTATGCAACTCATTGATGTTTATCTGTAAAAATACCATTGAATGTGCAAATAAACATCTGAATGAATGTATTACTAACCTATACAAAAGAATGTGAAAAAAAGAGTATCATCAGAATTAAGTAATGATAAGATTGATGAAATTTATGGTAATATTTATTTTAGATACAGAAAAAGCTCTGAATTTTATTGTTCTCGTGTTTCAAAAGAAATTAAGAAAAGTGTTGCATATCGATTAATTAATAGTACAAAAGTTATCCAACAAGCTTAAAGAACTTATAAGTTAAGACCTAAAATTTGGGTAAAATGAGTTTGGAATATAGTGAAAAATGATGGTACTCCTGATGAGAAGAAGTTTTAAGTATAATTCCTCGTAAAATAAGTAGAGTTCCTAAAGGATCCTGAATAATACTTATATAATTCACAAATAAACTTTAAGTATTAAAGTAAAAATACATTTTATGACATAACTCTGTTAATATTGAAGCTAGGAATTCAATTTTACTATCATTAGAATCCTCTCATCGAAACAAATCTAATGATATAAATTTTATTAAAATCAAATCACTGGTTGTGTTAAAAACAGGGGTATATAGGATAACGAAATTTTGAAAATACCCCTGTAATATGCAATTTTTGAAGAAAATTTTAATATAAACTCTATGCAAACTCAAATGTGAGTTGTATCGTTGGTGTTAATTTTTCAAATTCACTTATTTTCAGACGAGTTTTTTACACCATTAATGATGATACTGGAATTCGTGTAGTTTATTTTTCTCATTAGATTCCTTTTACATATAATCGAATGCAAATCACTCCTTATCCTGGTTGTTCCCTCCATTGTCTTGCTAATGATGAAGGCCCTTTGGCTTTGAAATCTGTTGGAGAAAAATTACTTCATTGATCATGTTTATCTGTTTTACCTTCTTATCGTTGTTTACAATTATTTCATATGACTGTATATGTAGATATTTCACAACAATTTATTAATTTAAAACTTTCTCCTTTTATTTTGTGTTCTTATTTTAGATTTTTACTTGGATTTTCAGAATTGTATATCCCAGAAAGATACTTAGCATTAGAGGAACTACTCTTAATGCATTATAACAGTTCTCCTACCCTTCCTCCTGATCTTACTCTCATATCAGATCCTACTTTTGCTTTGTGTTCTGATACCACTTTTTACATTTCTGGAACTATACACGCCGTTGATTCATTGACTTCATACCTAGTCTATGTTTGGGTGCAAACCCTTGATGATTTTATACTCGACTCTGGAATTTTCTCCTGTCCCATGATTTCTCCATATAATAATGTTGCAGAATTAGCCTTTGTATTATATGTGTTGAACTCCATTCCTTTGGATTTCTCCGTTTCCTTTGTCTTCTCATTCAAATTCAACATCCTATTTTCACGATAGTGCAAGGCTTTCCCTATAAGACGAGTCTGATTGAAGAATAATCCTTTATGGTCTTGTATCAGAGTTGTTAAAATCCAGACGTATTTCTTGCAGATTTACTTATTTTCTCAAAGACTCTACTCCTCCATATTCCATTCGCGCACAAGAACTTATTAAAGGACATAATTGGCCTGACTCTTTACAACCTATATAGGACCCCAGATAATTATAATTAAGATCATGTCTTACTATATTTTAAACTTTATTTTTCTTTTAACATGTAATTTTATTAAGTTAATATTATTTTTTACCATAAAAAAAAATGTTTCTTTTGAAGAGAAGAATCTTTTGATACCAAAATCTTGTAAATCTACTGATTAGAATTTGAGATAAGTATCATTACACAGGCAAAATTTGGCAAAAAAATATACGCTTTTTCACTATCAGTATACATAGAAATATACAAAAAAATAAAATTACTATTATTAAATATTACTTTTTAAGTAACAAAATTATAGATAATAGGAGGGCAATTATTATTACAAAGTTTTGTATTTATAGTTTTAAAAGTAAGTTCAAGATGACAAGAGTAAATTTTTAGCATAAAAGATATGACCTTAATTATAATTGTCCAGGGTCCTACCTATACCATTGATAGATGCAATTTTTTCTTCTTCTCTAAACACCATGGGTCTCTTTACTGGGTATGATGAACTTTTAATTCAAGATCCGGTCAAATATTGGCAGTTCCTATCAGATATTCAGCGATTTTTCTCGTTGTTAGGACTTTTCTGATTTCTTTCCATGCAAACTTCCTTCCACATTGTGGACTGGTCACTTACTTTTGATACTTTCAAACAAACTTTGTATCCGAACTTCGCAGTGTCTAAATCTTCTACTTTTGCACAATTTCGTCTTAAGCTCTGATTCGATGAACTTTCTGTCATGTATAAGCTTTCTCAAAGATTTCCTGGTCTATATGCTGATAACTCCTTATGTCCGATTTGTGGCATTTTCATAGAAATATTGAAATACCTTTTTATCTGCTCACCTAGTTATTTGAATACTGAGGATAATAACTCTGTACTTTCAAACCAAAAGGATGTGACCATGAAAATTATTGAACGCTTCCTGGTCAAACTTGCTACTAAGGTGTCTTCTTCACTCTGATGCAAACAATCATATGATGAACTTCTTATGGCCCTTTGCAATTTGCAAATGCTTGGTCTTCCAGATTTACTTTCGAGTAATAATTATTTATCGTTTTCAGCTTCCTGGTTTCTCTGAGGCTTCATTTCATGTGATCTTCTGAAGTGTCTTATGCGATGCTCCGGTCTAAATTACAAATGTATATCCTCTATTATTTCTCGAATATTTTTGAAACTTCAACGTAAAATTTATCATGGACTTTGGTGACCGAGGTGTAAAATTAAAATTACAAAAGACGTGGCAAAGGTATTTGCCAAGTATTCTTCGATCATATAAAGGATCTTCTGTTCAACCTTTTCATTTTTCCGCTCCTCAAGTAGCTTTATCTCAGGCCAATGGGCCTCTCTCCCTGCTTTAGGCTTCTGAATGGTCCTCTCTTGGTATCAATTGGTTCCATTCCTCTTTAACCCAATACTACTCATAGTTTCATCACCTGTTGGATTTTCTGAAGAGTCGAACAGTCCTCATCTGGAATAATATTTTGGTAATTTGTAAGATCAGGTAGGATTTTCTGGATTTGGATAGTTGATCTGAAACTTACTTTTTAGGTTTAAAGTTGGGATATACAAGTTTGGGATTTATAGTTTAGTTTACTTCTCTATATGTACAAATTTGTGTGACTATTTTCTTTTTGTTTTAGTTTTATTTATTTACTTTTCTTTTTCATTGTATTTTAAGTGAACGAAGTTATAAATGATTAATAAAAATAACTGTTAGCCTTCAAATATGAGTTGTATCAGTATTATTCAGGGTCCTATTCCTGATAATTGATATATAGACTATATATGGGATCCTAGTTATTTTCTGGTAGAAATTAATTATAAAGATAGAATTCAAGCTAAAGATATACTTGCACATTATTAAAATTATCCTATATTATATGACCATTATTCTTTACAAAGCTGGATAGAAAAAAAAAAGAATAGTTATAAGAACGATTAAATAATATAGCATATATAATTGCTTTTATAGAATTATATCGGTAAGACTATAAAATTGTTGAATATTCAGAATGGACTTATATGTTAAAATGATTATCAAATCCTGAATATTATCATATTGATAAATACTTCAACAATGGTATTGAAAATTTTGTTAAAAGTTCAAAATATGCATAATATAAGTGTTATTAACAGGCAAACATTATTAATATAATTTATTAGATCTTAACTATTATAAAACTAAAAATATTAGTATTAATGAAAAGACTACTACTGTAAATTTCTCAGATTTATATAATAATTGTAAGTATATATACTAAGTTTTCTAAGTTATAGATTCTTTATTTATATAAAATTATTATAATTATAATACAGTATAATAAATCAATTTATTTTTTATCTTCATTTGCATGTAAACATATATGACATAAATTAATACATTTTTGATCCTTGTTAAAGTATATATGATGTAATAGGTGATACTCTGCAAATCATCTGTGAAACTATGCTTATATAACAAAATAATTTTATATACAAATCAATTTCTCTAAAATATTTCAATTTTTTTTTTTGCAACATTTAGCAGAATAGCATTTAGTAGAATATCATTTAATAATATATATATTTATTCCAGAAAGACAGGCTATTTCTATTATATTTCAAGCTGAACATATATTACTGGGTCTTGATCAGGCGAGTGAAAAAAAAGTTCATATATGCATTATCCCTAACATTATTCTAAATGTCAAGATCTACAATACACATTTTACATACTCTTATTTTCGAACTTAAACTTTTAGTGTAAAGTATAACGTATATTTCTTCTATCTTTTTTTTTCAATATGAAGAGAATGAAAATGTACTAAGAAATGATGGCATTTAAAAGAGTAGTATGGAAAATTTATATTTAAGTCATTGAAAACTTCACATTATATTAATACATTTTTATTAATATTTATTATTATATTAAACTTAGTAGTCAAGATTAAAGCTTTCTTATTACAAAAATCATTTAATACTCTTTATGAGATATCTGTGGTTTATTTAACAATAGAGAATAATATTCTACCTCCATATAACAAAGTACAGGAAATAGTTGACTAAGCAGTTAATTCATTATTAGTAAAGCTAACAGATCTTGGTCAAAGAACTAAGATATTAAAAATATTACTGCAGATATAATATAAATGAGATTTTTATTTTTGTTCTTTATTTAATGATGACGCTATAGTAGATGTTGGCTTTAGTTTTAGTAGCTGAAAATCAGGAAGTACTGGCCTAGAAGATCAATATCTTAAAATGTTAAAAGTTTCTATTCTTCTCTACTATGCATGACTATCTAGCAAAAATAATGACAATATGTCTTTTTAAAAAATTCTGAAAACACACGTGTGGTAAGAATTATAATTCATGAATTTGGGATGGAAATAATGTACCAGCACTTTTTTATCACATCTATTGTAGGTGAAGAATGGATATATCAGTATTTGCAAATTAAAAGCATTAAAAGCTGAATATGGATAGAAAAATACTTCTTGATTATACTCAAAAAGAAATAAAAGAAAATTTTAATATATTAAAATTTAAACTTGAGATAATTACTATGCCATTTAAAGATTTTTTGTTTAAAATTAACAAACTTTTATGCTTAGCATTCTACAACAGAAGTGGATATAAACCTTTATGATTCACTTAAACAAAGTTTAACAGGTATAAAATTTTTAGATCTCATATGGTAAAATCCTAAAGTAAACATAATTTTAAGTGATAATTTAGACATTATAAAAAACTTGGGAAGTAAGCAAAAAAACATCTTCATGAAATTTTGAGAAAATATAAAATGTACTCTACCTGATTCAGTTGTTGCTAAGTATATTAATTTTGTAAAAGTTTTCAATAATACAAAGAATGCAAAGTCTATAAAAAACATACTTTACAATAAAAAATAAAAAGAAAGTGAGACAAATTTAGTAAAAATAACAGAATGTATTCTAGATATAATGTAAGTTGCTTGCTTATTCAAAAATTGATGAAATATCACTATATTAATCATGTTTTCTTTTATCAGTAATGAAATATAGAGCAATCCTGTATTTATGACTAGTATATCTCGCAGTGAGCAGAGTGAAGAAACATACATTATTGCAAATATTATAATTCTTTTACTTTGAACAAGTTTTTAAATAATCTTCCAAATAATGCCATTTGTCTAAACATGATAAAACATCAAAGCATAGCAAGCAAAACTCAAAAAAATTTAAGAATAATTGAAAAGTAGATGGAAAAAAACCTGACATTATAGATTTATTGAAGCAAGACAAAAAATTATTGAGCTATTATATACCAAATTATCAC